ACTCAGTGTTATACCAACATCCGTTTCTTTTTAGTCTGCAGGTATCCTTTAAGGCTTCCCCTCGTATGAAGACACAAAGTGACAGTAAGAGTAGCAGCGCCAGATGTTGTAGAGAAAGCTCCCATACAGCACACGGCAATCGTCTTTGATGTTTAGTAAGCAGATTTACCACGCTATGGATTGAGAGTCTGGTCCACCATACCACTAACGCATAGCTTATTATGGGTCTGATCATAGAGGTATGCATCCAGAGGATTCCCTTTGGTGACAAACCCCACGTTTTGCCAAAGTACTGTTTACATTTCCAGAATGTCGCCAATGCTTTGTAGGTCTTGTGCCGCCTTGAGATTTCCACGATAGTTTTGTATTCAGAATTACTCTTAGATACTTCACTTCGGGAGAAGTCTGAATTGTAACTCCATTAAGTGTGAGGGAATGAGACCATCCAACCTTCTCCTTCTAGTGAAGAGCGCAACACTGGTTTCGATTGGGTTAGCGGTGAGCCCATTTCCGCTTTTCGGTAGTAAGTCATATTTTCGTAAAAAAATAAAAACATTTTTTTTAACAAAGAATAGTCGAAACTTGCTAAATTGTCTCTTCCCTATTTACATTTTCTCCGCCGTACGTTTACAATAAATTAATAAGGAAATCACAGCTGAATCAGTATTACCATGATGTAATAGTAATGTGATTAACAGGACGAAATATGACAGAATCTCCGTTATTGCTGAAATACGCACAAATCAATCCCAAAATGTCTAATGCATGTAATAGTTCATTTCAGAGAAGTAAGTTAATTACTTGTATTTATGATATTTTTAACCGACTTCACTAAAAGAAGGAAGGTTATCAATTCGTCGGAATATTTTTTTTTATGTATGTTACCGCATAACTTTGGACCACGTTAACCGATTTCTAAAATTCTTTTTTTTTATGGAAAGGGTTTGGGTTGGTTTAAATCCGATCATTGGATCATGAAGAGATTAACGATAATCTTAAATTTTTATATAAGCTTTAAAGTCGGTTTTGTTTTTTGCTTAAAAATTACTTGTATTTAATACGGCTATACTCGATTGTTTTGACGCCACTTGCAGCAAAAATTAAAACTGCTAGTACAACACGAGCAAGTTGAAATTATTTTTGGAAGCCATTTGTGTTTTCTCAGTTGCGGTTACACTTTGCAAATTTTGTTTCGGAAAGTGATTTCCAAAAAGTATTTTTTGTGTTATGTTAATTTGACAGCAAAATGCGTAAAAAGATGTTATTGCAACGTTTAACCGCAATTTAACGCAGAGGATGTTCCTACTAGTATCGTTCATTTGACTGTTAGTGGTGGTACTGTTCCCCAAAAAACGGCCAGTAATAATTAAATTTCTAAATAAGAAGCCAATATTTAATAAAATTGCAAATTCTTTAGACCTAAGAAATAATACGATTTTAGCCAAGCTTGCAGTCTTCGCTTAGCCCTGCCAGTAACTTACATTAGTCTCACTATCTCGTATAAGGAAATCACCATCATGTCCATGCTGGTTCAACACCGTGTCACATTGGCTGCGCGTGATGGCGCCATAATACCAGGATTTACCAGCTAAGTTTGGCCGTTCCAAAGGAGCCATAGGAGGTGAAGATTGCACTGATAAGCCATCATTACGCCGATCGATTGAGTCACCGCCACTGCTACCACCTCCACCACCATTGCCACCACTATTGTTTCGGAACGGTGTAGCCAGATAATCATTTAACTCTTGTAGATAGTTGCGTGGAACTAAACCGACATGACCTTGATTATTTCTTGCTTTATACCAATCCGGATCAGAAGGTGGACGATCCACTATTTCGAGCCGGTCCCCCTTCTCAAAAGAAAGCTCTTGGTCGTTATTCGATGAAAAACTATAAAGGGCAACCTAAAGTAAAAAACAAGTTAATTTAGATATAACTCATATGAACAGAAATTACACAATCATGTGCATAGTTAATATTTACCACAATGTCGAGCACATTCTCAGCCATGGCATACGTATGTATTTCACCATCATTATCACAATCTTCAGTTGTGTAATTGCTTGGAAACCAACCGACCGCATTACCATTCTGACCTCGCCACCAGCCATCGTTGGACTTTTCCAATATAAGAATACGGGTTCCTTTACTTAGCGACAATTCGTCCGGTTGTTGTGCCTGGTAGTTGTATTTAACAATCGCAGTACCTATGGCTTCAGCTGGATCTGGTGGTAAACGTCGAGACATTGTTGGACTCTCAATTTGTCTTGAGGGTGAGCAATTTGGTAAAGTTTTAGAGCCAGAGCCTTTTTTCACTTTTTTTTTTATGCTAAAAGAAGATCAATTATGGTTATCAGATATTGTAAATGCAATACATATATAAAGCTAATATTTCTTTTGTTGTGTAGAAGGAAATTTTTAAAATCTTTTGAATCAAAAACTTAATTAACTTTTTGTCGAAAAAAATTACGTGATAAAAATAAGGGGGTTTATGAGCTGTAAGTCGGGTCCACGAAAATTTATCTGGTATATGGATAGAAGAGAGCAAAAATTGTTGCATGGCTTTACCTATCAATGTAGGCACTACTCGAAAAAATTAAGGGATCAAACAAAAATTTTTGAGAGGCCATATTTCGGTAAAAATTGTGGTATTGAGACTTAAAAAAAACCTTTGAAGCTCCAAATTTCTAATTTTTCTTGAGTACACATTTTTTGAGCTATGGTTCTCATGTAATGTCAAGATT